TTCCACATCCTCATGGTATTTGTAGTGCAGACTCTCCAATTGTTGACCCTACACAGCTTCATGGAGTCCAGGGTTTACATGTGTGTCATACATTGTGTTGTAAGCTTTTTTTGTGAATATTTCAAGCAGTAAACCCATTTCTTTGTCTGGCTTTGTATTGGGCAACTGTTCTGTCCAGCAGTAGCTGGTATTTGGCTTCTCTGTTATTTTGTTTTTTTTTTACCATGCGTCTGCCATACGTATATTTATCAATCTGGCTGCTTATCTGAGGTGCTGTGATGCCTGATAGGACCTTCTGTGCTGTGAGGAGAAAGGTTATTGGCCTGTGCTTGGATGGGATTGTTCCCTTATGGGGATCTGTGATATAAGGCCTGATCTATCCTCAATCAGTTATTTAGGGTGGGTTATATTCCTTAAGAGTTGATGCATTTTTGTTGGAAGATACTTATATAAAGAAGTCACCTTTTTGCACCATTATAGAGGGACTGTATTCAGGCTTGGGGCTGTCCAGTTCTTCATACCTTTTTGTTGGACATCTGCCATGCTGCTATTTACTGGATTTTGTTCAGTTATATTATTCAGGTGTGCTCATGTTGCCACAGTGTATCGTTGTTATTTGATCCCTCCTTCTCCCATAGGTCTTCCAGTACTGTTAAGCCTCTAGCCTCGGAGGAGTTAGCACTGTGTTATCAGCCTGCCTCTGGTGTTATGTGGTTTGGTGGAGAACAGTTGGTGTATTGGTCAGGCTTCTGTCTTTCTTTGTGTATCTACATAGTTATTATTATGTATTATTTCTGTGTATAGATAAAGGAAGAGAAAGCAAGATAGAGATTTGTCCCAGGTGTTGTTCTTGCAAGAACACACTCTTGCCAATTAGTTTTCTGTCATAATCTTGGTGCTGATTACTAACTCCATTCACCTGTCCAACTCTGCCTTGTTTCTCATCACTGCTCACCTGATCCACCCTGCTCATGCCTCTATTTAAGGTGATTGCATCCACCTGATTATTCCTGATTATTCTTGTTCTCCCTACCCAGTGGTGAGAGTGTTTGGAGAGTTCCTTGGTGTTTCTTATTTCCTGATCATGACCTGTTCTGCCTCTCAACCACTTAGCCTGCTTGTCTGATCTCAGAGGTGAGAGTGCTTTTACTTTACCTGAGTGTTTCTGATCACTTGTTCCTGACGTGTTCTGGCTCTCAACTACTGAGCCTGCCTGTTCCTGTCTGAACTGTTTGCCTAAACTGTCTTTGGACTCCTGGATCTCTGAGCCTGCCTGTTCCTATTTTGATCTGTTTGCCTGACCTGGCTTTGGATTCCTGCTTTCTCTCTGGGGCTGCAGCATCTGGGACATTCTTGGCTACGCCTGCTGCGTCTTGCTGGCAGCCCACCGGCTAGATCCTACCTTGTCCTTTGGACTGAACTTGTAAACCAGGTTAGTGACTCACATTCATAATCTTCTTCCATTCGATGTAGGTGGTCACTAACCTTTGTTTCTCTACTGCAGAGTTTCCTGCCTCCTGCTATTCTAATATGCCTGCTTATTTTAATAAATGGCTTTTGAGTAATCACACTTTCTGCTTGCCTGAATACTGGGTCCTTTTGTTCTGAATCTTGAAAAAAAAAAACTTTTGTTTGTATTGTAAAAAAAAAAAAAATAAAAAAAAAGCTTCATAATATCAACTTTCCAACTCAATATTTTAAAGTCAATAATGGCTATAGACATTTTGCATCTAGTGTTTAATTTACTTTAATTCACTAGACTGAGATCTCTAATTAGAGGCCTGGAGAATTATCAAGAGAATTTTTTCTGTCTGGAGGCCGACCAGAGAGGGTGTTAAACCATCCATGATTGAAGTGCTATAAAAAAAAAAAAAAACATGGTCATGGTTTGTTTCACAGCTAAACTGCTGAAACTGTCAAGAGATTTTGACCCATTCATGTTGGTCTGTGCTAGATTTGGATGCCATTTAACCAATCTTGCAACACTGATGATGAATTCTGATGTGAGCAATATCAAAAGGATGAGGAAAAAAAACAAAAAAAAATAGAGACAGCTCCCAGAATCAAAGCCTTCCTTTGAGAGAGCATGATCAAAAAGATCCTGCCTTCCATTTCCTGTGGTGCACTTTTTGGAGAGAGAGGGGACAGTACCTTGCTCATACAAACAGAATACACTGCTACCAAAACCTTCCCCAACTCTTTGCACATTCTGATTGCCTCAAGAGATAAAGAGATAGAGGTAGAGAGGGAGAAAAGGGGAAAGGCAGGAAATATGATCATATAGCACAGTATGGCCCCCCCAAAAAAGGCCAGTGAAATATGCCATTCTGCAATCAGTGTACACAATCAGCTGCCAGAGCCTGCGGAGGTGGTGGAAGCTGGGGAGTCCTTAGCTTGGCTGGGCTCAACAGGTGACATGAAAGTCTGAGCATAGGGGTGACTGAGAGCCTAATGGGATGAGGTGGCACCTCGACTCCAGCCAGAGACGAGTGGGTGGAGAGTCAGACGGATGAGGGAGCTGCCAGCAGAAAGAGATGACCCTATCTTAGCCCTCTCTTCACCTCTGTACGAGCTTAGATGGGTGTAAAGTTGAGCTGAAATATTTTTTAAGATGCTTCAGCAAGGAAAATGCTTTCTGAAAAGATGAAACTTTGTTTTTTTCCTGCAGAAGTTAATTAAAAGAAGCAGCACCCAAATACAGCAGCTTGCAAAAATTTTCACACGCTGTTAGCCTGTAACACAAATTGCAATGTTTTTGTTGGTAATAAAAGTAATATACAACCACAAAACAGTACGTAGTTAGGAAATGGAAGAAAAATAACACGTCCATAACTTTTTTCAACAATTTGCAAAGCCTGCCATGTTTATAATTTTTTATTATTTTAACACATTTTTATCAGCCATTTCATAATCAGCCAGGCTGAGTCAATAATTTGTAGAAGTACTTCCTCCTTCAAATAAAACTAATCTTTTAGGGTTGGTCTCTATCTACTTTGCACATCTATAAACTGAACAATTGGCCCATTTTTCATTTGTAAAACTGCTCATCAGTCAGAATGGATCAAGAGCATGTGTATATTAAATTCTTATGTCTTGCAATATACTCTTGCCTTGGGTTTTGGATTGTCCAGCTGATAGGTGACAATTATTACAAATATAACTTTTTTTAAATTCAAATACGGTTCCTCCAGGATTGCAATATTTATATTACCTACAATCTTTACACTAACCCTGACACAGATTTACTAGAAAACATGATATTCCTCTGCCATGTATCAACAAGGGACTGACGTATTCAGATATAGAGCACAACCTAATGCTAGCCACATAATGTTTTACATGTGAAGAACACAATGTTTGTTTTCTTTACATGGCTTATGGCAAACAGGACCTGTGTTTATAGGTCTTCATTAGGCTTTTTGGCTACGTTCACACTGCAGCCTAAAGTGACCCAATTGACAGGAACCACAAGAAATTACCCAATTTCTTTTTGCACACATGTGGCCTGCATCTGATCTTGTGATGGCAGTCTGAACAACAATGATCCGATTTTTTCCCATGAGACCCAGGCCACTTTGCTATGTGGTCCTGAATCCGACACAAATCTGATCATTTCATATGCGACCTGTGTCTGAACGACCAGGTGGCATTCATCCAACCTGAATGTCATTAATACTAAACAAAGGTCACTATTCAGCGTCTTGCTATGCAGAAGCAGGAAGAAAAAAAGCAATCATGGCGGACAAATATATGGAGGGCAGTCCTTTTTTTTTTAACCATCTTGAAAAGATTGAGTTTTTAAGGTTGGGAAAGATTGCTAGATGCGCTCCAGCACGACCATCCATGTTTACTTCCGTAAACACAGAGCACGCTTGTTTAAGACGTCATTGCGTCCTCTACTTTGCATGCAGGACAGTTAGGTTTTATGAATGTATTTCACACAGGAGATCACATACAGGTCGCATATACTTGGAAATGTGAATGATAACGCAAAAAAAAAATCGTATTTCACAAAAAAATCCTAATTAAGCATTAAGGTCTGTACTGTGAACGTAGCGTTTGCTCACTGGTGTTCTCTAATAACCCTCAGAGGGCTTTATTGAACTGCCTTTTAGATTTTTATCAACAAAAGTATTTAAGCATCACTATTTTCCTCATTGAAGATGGTACTAATGATGTGGGGAATAAAATCACAGGGTGTGAATACTTTTGAAATAATCTGCAACATCTTATTTTAACCGAGTCCAAAGGCAGTGAAGTAGGAGTGTAATTACAGCAAACTTCAGCACAATTATGATGAAAGGATGACAGCAAGTAGTTCAAAAGCTGAACTGACAAACTATAAACGCTAATTAGGCTGATGAAACATTTATCAGTGAACAGCAAAGTCTAACATTAATCAAACGGCTCAGATAAAAATTCTGTAATCTTCTGTCATTGTCTTTGTGGCACACTCAGCACAAATGGTACAGACTATGCAAGTTGTAACGTGAATGGAATCCTAGTGTGTCACATCAATCTTGCTGAAGCATCAACAACAAACCATCCCATAAAACAATAGGTATTACAATCACATCACCAGCAGAGGCTCTATTTCAGTCCTGCTTTTGTCACACAGACAGAAAGCTGTGCATTTTCAAACAACAAACCATTTTCAGAGGGGAGCCAAACGCTGCAGCTGAGTCAAAGCCTGTGGTGCCTCTGACGCAAGCAGGAGATGCTAAAAGGGAGCAGCTGAGAAGGTCGGTGGATGTGAGTTTGTTTGGGTCTGGGCTTTTGTTGATGCATTTTAATTTGATTGTTGCACATTGCGTCACTAACCTTCATCAGAGAGAACATCAGTACATGGTATTTTCTGTCTGTGTCAATTCATCAATGTCATGTTTAAATTAAAAATGGCCATGTGGCAGGAAGATTTCCAAATGTGTTGCATTTGCCACACTTGTTGAGTTCGACTTTGCTAGTCTTTTTTATTTCTTACCAGATGTTTTTGTTTTTCAGAAATGTATTATATCCATGGGAAAAGCTAAGCGAGTCAGGAACTCTGGGCTGAGGTGGGAAAAGAGAGAGGAAAAGTCCAAGATCAAGTGTGGAAAAAGTCTAAAACATATTGAATGCAAAGAGGGATAGGATGTGAGTAGAACTCGGAATGCAATATGAACATTGGTGTTCATTGAAGTTTTGCTGCCAAGTGATGGATGGCTGAATACACAGCCTAATACTTATAGTTGTGTTAACAATGGTACTCTCAAGCTCTTAGTTATACTGGTGGGAAAATATACTTGATATGATTCCATTTTGTTAATAAAAGCTGATTCTGCCTCTGACATCAAAGTATATTTCTTTAAGAGTACAAATAATACAAGGAATTAAGATGTTAAAAAGCTGAAAGCTCTAAAAATTGTTTTCTTCGGCAGAGCAAAAACTACTACTTTGCATCGAGGAACCCAATTTTTACTATTTGGTTTCCAGAAAAACTGAAAGAAATACAAAAATAAAAGACACAATAAAAGTGAAAAAAAAAGGAGAGCAAAGGGAGAGAAACAAAAAAGAAAAATGTCAGTAATTTTTAAAGTATAGTTTGGTAAGGGTGGCTAGGCAAATCAATAATGACAAACTAGAAAAGCAATCTGGGAATGCAGACCTGAGAATGCAAATTTAGCCCCATATTTTGACTTACACCGGCAGCTAAAAGTTACACATGATCTGGATTATTGTGTATCAAATTGTAATGAATTGCTCCTTGGCATGTGGTGCACCTTTGATAACATTTTCCTTAAAATCTTTTAATAAATTTATAAATAATGCCCAGCAAGTGTCAGCAGCCTCTGGTGTTTGTTCTGCTCTCGTCTTCTTCTTTCATTATGCTTTCTTGTTTAATCAGCAGATCGAGACAAAGAGCAAGGCATGGCTCACCTTTCCGTTTTTTTGTCTTCAGTATAGTAATTCTGGACTTTTTTGAGTCCCATGCTTAGGCTGTTAATAGTCACTGCTGCCACCATCTGGTTTAGGAAGGAACTGCTCGATTTGCCAAATAATGTTACAAGACCCTCTAAAAAAAAATCCATGCATCCAGATTAGAATCCTGCAACGGTTCGGGTACCCGCGGGTCCCCGACGGGTCACCCGCTAAAATGCTCTTTTGCGGGTGAAAAATACATAAATAAAAATAAACGGGTTGGGGGTCGGACGGATATTTTTTTAGTGCGGGTGGGTAGTTGGTGATTTTTTTTTATGCGTGTGTCTTGTTATGGACATCAGAAATGTTATTTTAATCAGGCACTGGGGTCACCCTTGTTGTAGCTTAAAGCCCTGCCGGCAGTGTGGGCTTCCTGTTGGGATCTGGAGGTTTGTCCACTTTCTCCACCAGAGGGCGCACGAGATCTTCTGGAGCATGCGCCGACCGCACCACCTGTCTCTCATCTGCTCATTAGGAGATCCGTACTTAAGGAGGTGGAGGGCTTCACTCCAGTGCCAGAGGGTTTGCCAGTAACGGTTAGCTAGCCTGAGCCAACCTGCTTGTCTTTGAACTCAGACTTTCTGTAAACCAAACCTGATCCCGTTTTTCTCCTCTCTGCCTTCCAGGTTGATCCTGCCTTAATACCTGAAACTCTGGAGAGTTTCTCTGCCGGTGATCTGTCTGCTCGTTCTCAGTAGGACTCTGGAGAGCAGCCTCAGTCAAGTATTCTGCCTGGCCGCTCTTAGAAGATTAGTAGAAGGAAAACTCAATCTGTGATCTGCCTGCACTCAGTAAGCTCTGCCTCCGCCTCTGCCCTCAGCCTGCCGACAACCTCTGGACCCTCAAGGTTCCCCCTCTCTGCAGCTCTGCTCCATTTCCAAACAGGTACAGACCTGAACACTCACAACCTGCAAAAGACCTGGACCTCCACTAATCTCTCTGTCCTCCTCAGCAGTGAACCCACTCGTGACCAGTCAAGCCCCATCTTGGATCTGAACAAACTTTGTACATTTATTATTAATAAATCTTTGAACTTTTTCATCTGCCTCCGAGTGTTCTGCATGTGGGTTAGACACATAAATCCGAACATGACACTTCCCTCCAAAAAGGCCACAGTCAGTGCATACACGTCTGCTGCAGTGTTAATGGCGCTGTTTTGCAGCGCAGCGTACTATAGCCTATTACTTGATGTGTTAACGGGTCGGGTTGCGGGTTAAATATCAACGGGTCGGGTCAGGTTCGGATTTGAATTGAAGATATCCGCGGGTGACGGGTCGGGTTCGGTAGTCATCCTAACGGGTTCGGGCGGGTGCGGGTTGGTAAAACTCGACCCGTGCAGGACTCTAATCCAGATTATGATGTGGATCAGCACCAACATTTATTGGTGTGTTCCTTGTACTGAGGTGCACCTTTGGTAAAAATGTCATTAAAATATATTCATAACTTTTCAAGTTATCCTGTACACAGACAGACAAACAGAGAGACAGACAGACAGACAAACACACACAAAATCGACTAAAACATAAGGAGGAGAGAACAAGGTAAAACAGAAAGGGAAAGCGTGTGGGTAATGTGGACAGAAAATATGTGCAGGCAACTGACACACACAAAAAATACAAAGTGGCAAGTGAGACAGAAGAAGTGACAACAACTGGAATGGCACATCCTGTGAGGGATTACCCTGGGTTCATTCTGCAACCATGATTACAGCATGAGGAAAAGATTAAGGCGGCTGACCACCGAAGCGTAAGGACTGGCTGATTTATTTTTCTTCTCTCTGTCAGAAAAAACAGCATTTCACTATGACAGGCGCATCCATCATGTATGGGGGAAGCAACAGCTACCATTATTGAGCATAATGTCACATAGACCACTTACAGTGCGGCTAAGGCATTCAGGTGTCACGGCAACGTAAATAAGTTCTAGTCAAGACTGAAATATGCAGCAGCTTAACGCCTGGATGGCTGCTGTCTGTACAGCTGAAGTAAAGCACGCTCATAAGCCACTGAAGACAAACTTCTACTTCTGTCATGGCAGCCTCCTGCTATCTGTGTCTGAAGACATCATGTAGGTTCTGCACAACATCTTTCAGCAGATATTAGCGTCAGTTTAACATCACCTAATTGCATAAAAAAAAAGAAAACAACGTTATATTTAGAATGTTTTCAATTTTCTTTGAGGCGAGCACATTCTTCACAAACGCAGAGAGTGCATGTAACTGCAATGTTCATTTTCTCTATGCAACAGTGAGTGGGATAAAGGGTCGACTTTTTAGCAGAAGAGCTCTCTGCCGTGATTCATCAGCAATGAGACTAATCAGGGTGACGCTGCAGGCAAACTTTGTGAGCTACATAAACACAGGTGGTGGTGTAGGAGGGAAAGACTGCCATCAAAGAGAGAACAGTGAGGCGAGCGCACAGTCTCGACCCTGTTTCTAACTAATAAAAAAGAGTTAAGAGGCTGCAATACCCCCTTATGTCAAGAGCTTCCCTATCTGACTGCAATAAACCCATCTAATTTGCTGACTTCTTACATACTCTTATCACATTAAGAAGTATGGTAGTATGCATTTTAGAAAATTATGTTATTGTAATCTTAACTCTATTAAGTGCTTGTGATACTGTTTTGTTTTAGTTTTTTTTGCTCTTAATTCTCTTTCTCTCAGTTGCTATTACAATGCTTACACCTCTATCTGGCATTTAGCATCTTGGATCAGGTTTGGGGATCAACTGCAGAAGGACTCCATACAACAAAATAAACATCTAATGGGATTGTAAAGCTTGAACCCCTTTCTGTAAAGATTTAAAAAACAATCCACCGGACTTGGTTTCCAAGATTTGAAGACGTTTCACTACCCCTCCAGGAAGCTTTCTTAATTCAAATGTCTGGATCCACAGTGAGTTTGAGTCTTTATATAGACAAGGCCTTGTATTGCTTGGAAACATGCAAATGGAGACCGATGAGTAGGTCATTTGGTTCCATTGTTAGCCTGTAATATCTGAAACCTGTCTATGATTCTGAAGGTCGGTCGTTAAAGGGGGAGGGATTGTTGTTAAAGGGGGGATTGTCTCCTATAATACTTGAAACCTGTCTATGATTGTTAAGGGTCGGTCATTAAGGAGGTATTGTTCACCGGCTGAAGAGAGGAGGTACTTTGTTCCTCTGTTATGGGTTTGGGGATGTGGTTATACCTGGAAGGGATCATCTCTACTTGAACCCCTTACATCTAGTTCCACTAATACCTGTGCTTCCCTGTCATATAGCAACAATTAGATGTCCCTGTGTCTCACCTGTTTCAATTATCATTAGTGTACGTCCATATCTCTCTGTGTACATCTGCTCCTAGGGCTTTTTAGCCATTATCAGATCCCCCTAACTTGGCAATTAAGACTGATAATACGTACCACTCAGGTTTAGTTCTCCACATTGTTAACTTGTGACTCATAAAATCAATTCTGTTGAGGGAAAGGAGGGACATTCAACAGAACTGATTGGGCGAAGCAACACATAGTGCAGACTTACCAAAGCTTGGTTTGAGGCAATCAAGGCAATGAATAAACTAGCAGCAGACCCCATGAGAAACCACAACAGCTAGGGCTTCAATGCTCTTTAGGTTCCTGTTTCAAAGATTCTCACTAAACAGATATTATGTAAGCAACAACGCATATGTCCTCCTGTGCTGCTACTTTTATTTTGATTCAGTTATGGACTTGAAAGCTTTTGCTTTTAACACAGCTATATGATTAGCCATCCAGTTTTAGGTTTGCCCGAAACAGTTACAGTAGTAGCCATTCAAAATTTCCCCACTTTCCTTGATGGGCCCTTGGCTGGTCTTTGGCAGGTCCTTGGCATGTCCCCTACCATTCCTTTTTAAACATCTAAAATATTCTTTCTGTCATGATTTGTGGACATTAAGATCTAAAGAGAAGCATTATCTCCTGGTCATACTCTGCAATTCAGTGAAAGGGTGGAGTCAGAGTAAAAAAAATATGCATGCCTATGACAAGGCCACTGGCTGGAAGTTGGGGGGAATTTTGCTGCCATTCGGCTGGCTTTTGACAGGGAGGGGCAATCTTGAAAGGCTGCTACTACAGTATAAAGTGGGAGGGGGACATGAGGGATTTTTGTACGTTTAAGACCACATATATACCATGAGAATTAAACTTGCAGGCAAG